GCACTAAGTTTCCAAAGAGACTTTTAGAAAAGGAAGCTAGCAGATGGTGTTTTCCTTTGGGAAACAGCCTGGTAGACCCATGAAATCCCAATGCTTTCCTTTAGGGAAAGAGACACTTTAATCTCTTTCCATTTACCAAAGGGTTCAGAAATACTGTACCCTTCAATTCCAAATACACCCAAGTGAAAGGATATTTTTTCTCATCTCAAAGGAAAGATGCAGATTTCACCTCAGTGCATGAGACCTCCAGTCAATCCTGTTCTCCACCTAGCCACATTCACTAAATCTAAAATTAGAGTGTGAGACAGATGGTGCTGGGTGGATCTGATTGAAAAAGTAATCTTCTATCTTTCTCATCTCCAAAAACATTTGAGGTGGAGTCTTAGAGTCTTAATATTGTATAAAAATTAAAGTGGTATCATTATTCCACATAGCAGTTACAAATGGTTCGCAAGAACCAATGTATAGAGAATAAACTGCTATGAAATTCCAAGATGTTAAGGAATATCAGTTATTCTGGAACATCACATACTCAAAAATATGGTGGATATCCATTTTTTATAAATAAGGTAAGAGACAAATCGGGAAAGATGATGTAGACTAATGAAAGAAAAGTTTAAAATATTCAAGGAATTTTACTCAGAGTTATACCAATCAGGAGAAATCTCAATTGATAAAATACAGTAGAGTCTCGCTTATCCAACTTTCACTCATCCAACATTCTGTATTATCTGACGCAGTCTGCCTCTCCCCCAGAATAATGTCCAAGGTGGGAGAAAGAAAGAAGTCTTGTCTGTTTTGGTTCTAAATTCATAAATACAGTAATTACTACATAACATTACCATGTATTGAACTGCTTTTCCTGTTGATTTGTTGTAAAACATGACGTTTTGGTGCTTGATTTGTAAAATCATAATGTAATTTGACATTTAATAGGCTTTTCCTTAATCCCTCCTTATTATCCAACATTTTAGCTTATCCAACGTTCTGCCGGCTCATTTATGTTGGATAAGCAAGACTCTACTGTAAAGGTCTTTTTAGAAGGAAATTGGAACATAAAATTAAGGGAGGATAGGAAATTGCTAGACTCTCCAACAAAAGAGGAAGAAATCAAGAAACTAATATCAAAATTCAAGAATGGTAAAGCTCTAGGGTTGGATGGATATGGACCAGAATACTACATAATATTTGGAAAAAAACTAATTCCTGAATTGACAGTTATATAATGCAATATTAAATAGAGGAAAAAATCCAGAATCCTGGAACCAGGCATTAGTGATATTAATTCTACACCTAATAGAGATTAAACAGATCCAGGGGCTTACAGACCATTTTCATTAATAAAGCAGGATGCCAAAATACCACCAGCAATTTATTTATTTAAAATCTTTGCATTCTGTCCTTGCCCTGAAGGGGACTTGAGGCAGAGCACAACATATATTGGAAATTATATTTGAGAGTTCTTGGAGAACGGGAGAAGTTCCAGCAGATTGGAGGAGAGCCAATGTGGTCCCAATCTTCAAGAAGGGAAAAAAAGGATGACCCAAACAATTACCGTCCGGTCAGCCTCACGTCGATACCAGGCAAGATTCTGGAAAAGATTATTAAGGAAGTGGTCTGCAAACACTTAGAAACAAATGCGGTCATCGCTAATAGTCAACATGGATTTATCAAAAACAAGTCATGCCAGAGTAATCTGATCTCTTTTTTCGATAGAGTTACAAGCTGGGTAGATGCGGGGAATGCCGTGGATGTAGCGTACCTGGATTTCAGTAAGGCCTTCAACAAGGTCCCCCATGACCTTCTGGCAAACAAACTAGTCCAATGTGGGCTAGGCAAAACTACGGTGAGGTGGATCTGTAATTGGTGAAGCAGAAAACAGAGGGTGCTCACCAATGCTTCCTCTTCATCTTGGAAAGAAGTGACAAGTGGAGTGCCATCAGCAGGGTCCCGTCCTGGGCCCGGTCCTGTTCAACATCTTTATTAATGACTTAAATGAAGGGCTAGAAGGCAGGATCATCAAGATTGCAGACAACATCAAAGCAGATTAACATGGGATACAACAGCTTGACAGATTAGAGAGATGGACAAAACAAACTAACAAAATGCGGGTCCTTAGCTCCCCGGTCTACTCAGAAAAACGAAATGCAAAGAGACAGAACAGGGGACGATGGGGCCTGGCTCGAGAGCAGTACGTGTGAAAAAGATCTTGGAGTCCTCGTGGACAACAAGTTAAACATGAGCCAACAATGTGATGTGGAGGCAAAAAAAGCCAATGGGATTTTGGCCTGCATCAATAGGAGCATAGTGTCTAGATCTAGGGAAGTAATGCTACCCCTCTATTCCGCTTTGGTTAGACCATACCTAGAATATTGTGTCCAATTCTGGGCACCACAATTCAAGAGAGATATTGACAAGCTGGAATGTGTCCAGAGGAGGGCGACTAAAATGATCAAGGGTCTGGAGAACAAGCCCTATGAGGAGCGGCTTAAGGAGCTGGGCATGTTTAGCCTGAAGAAGAGAAGGCTGAGAGGAGATATGATAGCCATGTATAAATATGTGAGAGGAAGCCACAGGGAGAAGGAAGCAAGCTTGTTTTCTGCTTCCCTGGAGACTAGGACGCGGAACAATGGCTTCAAACTACAAGAGAGGAGATTCCATCTGAACAAGAGGAAGAACTTCCTGTGAGAGCCGTTCAGCAGTGGAACTCTCTGCCCCGGAGTGTGGTAGAGGCTCCTTCTTTGGAAGCTTTTAAACAGAGGCTGGATGGCCATCTGTCAGGGGTGATTTGAATGCAATATTCCTGCTTCTTGGCAGGTGGTTCCATGAGGTCTCTTCCAACTCTTTGATTCTATGATTCTATGATTCTACAGCAAACATTCAATGCCAGAACATAAAACAAACTATAAACATACATACACATTAAAATCAGTTATCTTCACGTTAAAACCCGCCTCAAATCATCCATATGGAATCTGGTTGGCAGGGTAAAGTTTCCTAATGTTGTCTTATTGAACTGTCCCAAAGACTTGGTCCCACAGCCAAGCTTTTACCATCTTTCTGAAGGACAGGAGGGAGGGGGCTGATCTAATTTCACCAAGGAGATAATTCCATAGACAAAGGGCAATAATTGAGAAGGCCCTCTCTCTCATCCCCGCCAATCGCGGCTGTGATGGTGGTGGGACCAAGAGCACAGCCTCCCCAGAAGATATTAATCTCTGCGGTAGTTCCTAGAGCGAGATGCCTTTGGCTTTATAGACCAAAGCCAGCACTTTGAATTGTGCTTGTTAGCAAACTGGCTAACACAGTGGTGCTGACACAACATGGGAGTTGTGTGCTCCTTGTATGCCACCGCAGTTATTAACCTGGCTGCCACTCACTGGACTATTTGAAGCTTCTGAACAGTCTTCAAAGGCAACCCCACGTACAGCACATTGCATTAGTCTGTCCTAGATGTAATAAGAGTGTGGACACCATGGCCAAGTCTGACTTCCCAAAGTATGGGCAAAACTGGCACACAAATTTTAATTGTGCCCTCCTAGCTACCGCTGAAGCCTGAGGTTCCAGGCTCAGAAATGAGTCCAGGGGGTCTCCCAAGCTGCAAACGTGTGCCTTCAAGGGGAGTGTAACCCCATCAAGCACAGGCTGTAACTCTATACTCTGTCTGGCCTTACAACTGACCAGGAGGACCTCACTCTTGCCTGGATTTAACTTCAATTTGCTTGCCCTCATCCAGACTGTCACAGTTGCCAGGCACCGGTTCAAGACCTGGACAATCTCCTTAGCATCTGGTGAAAAAGAGTAGTAGACTTGGACGTCATCTGCGTAGAGATGGCATCGAACTCCAGAACTCCAGATGATCTCACTGAATGGCTTCATGTAGATGTTAAACAACTTGGGAGCAATACTGAGCCCTGCAGGACACCACAGGGCAATGGCTGTGGAGCCAAGCAGGAGTCCCCCAATGACACCTTTTGGGTACGATCCTTCAGGAAGGACTGGAGCCACTGCAGAACAGTACCTCCAAGAAACAATTAGATATAGAGTACAAATACATTACTAGGGATCAATGTGGTTTTATAAAAAGAAGACTTATGTTCAATTTAGTAGGGAAATTAATAAACAAAATTCAAATATAAAAAAATAAATGGATCAAAGCAGGAATCATTTTATTGTACATGTGGCCCGCTCATTGTCATTATGATTGTCCATTGCATTCTTATGTTTTGTGTATATTGCTTATTGTTTTTGTATCTTACTATGTTGTTGTTTGTGTTTTGATTTTTATTTTATTATATTTTATTTCATTGTAATTTGTTGTTTGGGCTTGGCCTCATGTAAGCCGCCCCGAGTCACCATTGGGGGAGATGGTGGTGGGGTATAAATAAAGATGATGATGATGATGATGATGATGATGATTATTATTGCTTGCTTTGTTAGATCATGTATGTTCAACTTGATGTTTTCCAGATTGTTCTGGGTTATCATCCCTCAGCACTGGCTATGCTGGAAAGGAGTCCAACAAGAACATGAGACCAACTAGTTGTCCACTTCCAATTTATATTCTACCCCATCCCCCAAAAATTCAGGAAGAGAAAGAGCTAGGTTAACAAGTATACAAAAAGGCAGTCAGAATGCACAGGTTTCTTCTACAGTGTTAGAAAACGTACCCTCTACATATTGAAGAGACTTATTCAAGCACAATTTCCCCTGACCCATACACACAAGTCCTTCTGTTTCCAGTACTTAATAAGAAAATATTTCCAAGTACACAGGAAAAGCAGTCATTAAACACTGTTCTATTTTTCTCCTGCTTATTCCGAGAGAAATAAAAAACTTTCTTCTGCAATTGTCCATTTTTTCCATTTTTTAATCGAAAGAGAGCTTTATTTCTTTTCTTGACGCTGTGTCAGTGACCTGAATGTTCATGAACCAATTGCACACAAAACCTCCCTCCCAATATTGCCTTCCAAGGGCTGCCTCACCCAAATTCCCCTTACCTTGGGTGGCTGAAGTGACAAGGACGGTAGTGATGCAGAGGCTCCAGAGGGCATGGATGAGCCGGGCCATGCTGCACTCAATGCTGGGACTGTCAGCAACTGAGGGCCACTTTAGTCATCCCAGAGCGAGGGACGTAACAGCAGGCCTGGTGGAGAAAGAAAAACCTTGAGTCTGGTTAAGAACACAACAGGACCGTGCCAAGTTTCATCATCTGCTCCCGTTTTGTCCCCAGAAAATATCATATTCTCTACCTGTTGGGTCCCATACTACCCATCAATTCTTCTCTTACACCCCTCCTTTAAGGACTGGTACATCCTTTTATGAAACTAGAGTACAGTCAGCCTTCCACATTTGCTAGAGTTAGGGAATAGAACCCCCATAAAAGTAAAAAACCATACATTTAAAACTGCTATTTTTCAACCTGAAAGAATTACTTTTTAGGAATATTTAGATTCTTCAGCATAAAGTCACACAGAGCGAACTAAAGATTCCTGGATATATGTTCTCTTTAGAAATATCTGTCCTCTAGTCCTTCCAGGAGAGTCGACCATAAAGTCACACTGGAGGACCCAGAGATTCCTAGAGATAATGTTTAATCAAATCTGTGAATAATCAAATCGGCAAAAGTCAAACCTGCAAACATGGAAGTCCAACTGTATATTCATCTTTTTATCTGTTTGTAGCCCAGTTTCCCTCCAACTAAGCTCCATATGGCATACCTAAGGATGCATCCAGACAGCCCTTTAACACGGAAACATTCGCGTTGTAAAGCGCGTGTTTTCTGAGGCAGGTGTCCAGATGTGCTGCCGGAACTTTCCGGGAAAACACCCACACACTCTAACCCCACAACCCCCTTTAAAAATAAAAGAACTTACCTGGCCTCTATTAGCGTGGTGCTGGAGCCCTACTAGCGCGAAGCTTTAGTACCATGCTAATGGATGATGGGAAAGTTCTTTTATTTTCAAAAGGGGGTTGGGGAGGGGGTTGGTGTCCTTGTGGTTTTCCAGGCTAATTTAGCCTGGAAAACCACAGGACTACTGTCTGGACTGCCCCCACAAAAGCCCAGAACTTTTGATGAAGCAATCCAGACAGTGGAAGTAGTGGGTTTATCCCAGGCCTTCCAAGAAGGCATGGAATAAACCTACTAACAATTAAGTTCGTGACAAACCAAGGTTTTCAAGGTTTGTGGTGAATGAATTCGTGTTTCTCTGGGATTCATCTGGACAGCCCCCTTTTAATTGAAGGAACTCCCGCATTAAAAGGGTTGTCTGGATGCGTCCTAAGTCTTCCCCTCCCAACCTAAAACAGTCCTTGTGAAGTAGATCAAGCTAAGGAAGTGTGATTGCTGCAAGTGTGACTGGGGAAGTATGACAGGTGTGAATTTCAGAGTAGTAGAACCTGGATTTTCCAGATCTTGGACCAATATGCCAAAAACATTACAACTTGTCTCCACCCCACTTCACCCTAGAAAGGACAGTTTCACCAGGACTGGTGTTGGAGTTATTGCTTCTAGGAATAAATCACCTGGAAACAGAGCTGATTTTCCTTGTAACATTTTAACAAGAACATACTGTATTATAATGGAATAGACAAAACTGGGTCAAACACCTGCTAAGCAACCAAAATGAAATGAATCAGGAAGCTGAAGCCTAAAAGAATGTAAATTTCTGTTTGGTTTATGTTCTCCACAAAATCATATGCATGCAAGAGATACTTTTAAAATACTGGTATGTTCAAGCAACTTCTAGGTATATCCACCTGTTTACTAAGTGACATTTTGTTCCTTTCGTTTATTTTTATGTTATATTAATATGTTATACATATTAACCCCCCTCTTGTTTTAAATTCAGTATCCAAGCTAGATGTCTTTACTGGTTTACGGCTACCAATGAATACATGCAGTTTTTAAAATTACCGAAATGCTTCCCCACATGCTGAGAATAGTCTCCACACTATCCACTGCATATCAAGCACTGCACCATTGCATGCTGCAGAGGATTCTGAATCCATCACTAGAGCACAAACTCACAGTTGCCACAGGGAAACTTGGTCAAGTCCAGTGGGTCAACTGCCCCTCCCCTCAAAATGAGAATGTGCCTGGGCTGGAATGTATTCTATGCAGAATGTCTGTGGAAGCTGGGTCCATTATGAATTATCTTCTCATTGAGAAATAGATGACAAACATCTTGGGATCCCCAGGTGTTCCACAACAACACCTGCAAGGCATTGAAATAGCAACCCCTTTTCCTCACCCAAAGTGCCTTTCACTGATGCTCGTCAATGAGCTTTTAAAACAAATGTAACTTCCCACAAAAACCAACTCTTACTTTCAAGAGCTGGTGTCCACACACATTCACAAACACACAACAACATGATGGGGACTACTTCACATGGTGTTATCCCAATGGTTCAAAGGAAATTGAAATTCTCATTTACCTATTGACTGGGGAAAGCCATTTGGATTTAAGAAAGGAGCTTACTCAGATCTAGCACATGGCATCAAAAGCCGCTGCCTCTGCATTCTCCTCCTCCTTAATGAAAAGCAAATGAGCATAGACAATATACAGTGGATCCTTCTTACTGTTTGATGCTTATATAATGCAAAAACTGAGATACTCTGGCCCGGCCAGCCGCCAGAATTAACCCAGTCTCTGCCTGATTTCGATGGGGAAGCTCTGGTTCCGTCTGCCACTGTTAAAAGCCTTGGGGTTGTGTTGGACTCATTGCTGACGATGGAGGCCCCAGATCACTGCCATAAGTAAGCAGGCCTTTTTTCATCTTCGACAGGCAAGGAAATTGGCATCCTACCTTTCGGTAGAAGCATTGGCAACGGTAATCCACGCAACAGTCACCACTAGGTTGGACTATTGCAATGCCTTATATGCTGGCCTTCCGAAGTCAACGACCCAGAAGATTCGGATGGTCCAAAATGCGGCAGCCAGGCTGCTAGCGGGATCATCTATAAGATCCTTCTCAATCTGTGCGTTCCCAGGTGTTTTGGCCTACAACTCTCAGAAATCCCTGCCAGTTTACCAGATGTTAGGGAGTTGAAGGCCAAAATATCTGGGGACCCACAGGCTGCGGGATCATCTATAAGATCCCATATTACACCAATTCTGCAACAACTGCATTGGCTACCAATAGAACATCGGATCTCTTACAAGATACTGATCCTGACATTTAGAGCTCAAAATGGCCAAGGATCTTTATATCTTAGGGACCACCTCATTCCTGTTTTCCATCAGTGGTTACCTCGATCCACCCAGGAAAATCTCCTATACATACCGGGCCCTAGGGAGGTACACCTGGAAGCTACAAGGTGTAGAGCTTTTTCGATCTATGCTCCAATTCTGTGGAACTCATTGCCTCCATATATTAGAGCAATGTCGGAGTTGCGACCTTTTGCAAAGGCGCTCAAGACTTGGCTGTTTGGTTGTGCATTTAAGTAACCGGATCAAATTTTGCCATAGTCACTGCTGAATGTTTTTATGTTGAATGTTTTTATGTTGAATGTTTTTATATTGAATGTTTTATATTGTGTATAAACTGTTTTAAATTGTAAGTCGCTCGGAGCACCTTGGTGGAGAGCGACTAATTAAGAAATAAAGTGATGATTATGATGATGATTATTATATTTAATTGTATTTGAAAATGTAATGATTAGCATTCAGTTAGTATTTCAGATGTCAAGACCTCTAAGCCACTTGAATAAGAGTTCCAACACTATTTTCCATGGCCAGTCAAATAGACCATCCAGAGTTTAGAGTTTCTAATCACTCTCTGAAGAGCAACATCACTGTCATTCCATAGCAACAATTTAATTGAAATTTATAAAGATCGTCAAGACAGAAAAACAACGATGTTGTGTTAAAGTACATGCAAGATTTATGTCTCAGCAGGGACTGACAGTGGAACTTCCTAGTTAGGAGTAACCATGTTTAACATGACTTATACGATATACTTTATTTATCAATTTTTCACAGATAGGGTTGCCAGAGTAAAAACAGGAGAAGTCGCCTGTACTTTTAGAGATTGTGAAGAATAGGGAATTTTAGGTGATGTCACTTGTTATTGGTTGTGTGACATGCAACTCTTGCTGAAATGCCTTCCTCTGCACAATATTACATGTACAGGAGCTACATCCAGTTTCCCATCTTCTCTCAGAACCCAAGCCCAAAATTCAATAGTCGCAATTCCCTCCACCCTATTGCTTATGACTTTTTTTCTTGTGACTTCTAATATATCAGTACTCTCATTTTTTTTCTTTAATCAAGGTCATCTAATATTTATGGCCTGACAGAACTTGGTAGTTATTACTTACAAATAATGTTACCTGATATTATTTCTTTTCCCAATGATGAAGGTGTAATTACATTACATTTATAATGTAACAAGAGAATGTCAATCTGTTTATAGCACAACTGCAACCTTTTAGTTACTTTTATAGTCATGGGGAGCCTTACTAAATGGAGGGGGAGAATAGGAGATAGTTAAAGTATTGATCTGTGCTCTGCCCAAACATGCTGTCTTGTGCACTACTGTAAATACTGAAAGTGGATGGAAGAAGAATGTGCTATATACCACATGCATCTAGCATTCCATTTTAAAAGGTAACAATTTGGTTACTTTTGAGAAACTAAAAATACGCAGCGCAGTGCCCAAACAAGAATCAAGGAACATGAAAGGCACTGCAGACTACTTCAACCAGAGAAATCAGCCATAGCAGAGCACCTGATGAACCAACCTGGGCACAGCATTTTATTTGAGAACACAGAAATGCTGGACCACTCTCACAACCACAATGTCAGACTACACAGAGAAGCCATTGAAATCCACAAGCATGTGGACAATTTCAACAGAAAGGAGGAAACCATGAAAATGAACAAAATCTGGCTACCAGTATTTAAAAAACTCTAAAATTGCAACAGTACAACAACAGAGAGAAAGCAGGCAGGGACATCTAATTATCTCTCAACAAAAGTTTGCCCCAGGCACAGTCAGGCCATTGTATGCTAATCAAGATGGTCAGTTGAAATATTCACACCTAGCTCCAGCAGAGAAGAGTCCTTTGTCTCACCCTGGTCATTCCACAGATATATAAAAACCCTTTTGCCTAGTTCCAACAGACCTCACTACCTCTGAGGA